GAAAGAAAGAAAGAAAGAAAGAAAGAAAGAAAGAAAGAAAGAAAGAAAGAAGAAAGAAAAGGTGCAATTCAGTGTCATTTGTGATTTCTCATATAGCAGGTATTTTTTAAGAGGATAACATCAAATACAGCCTCTCTGGGTTATATGCTAAGCTGATTCTTTAGCAAATATTTTTTTCAGGAGATAATATTTTTTCTGATCAAACTCATACACTTTACTGTAGTTTCATGTAGAGTCCATCGTGTAGGAAAGAAGATGTCTTCGTATGGTTGCTTTTCTCTTTATAGGTGGCTAAAAAAAAACCACAACAAAAATAATTTATATTTTTTCCCTTGTAAAATATAACAACTACATTAAAAATATACACTGCTCAAAAAAATAAAGGGAACACTTAAACAACACAATGTAACTCCAAGTCAATCACACTTCTGTGAAATCAAACTGTCCATTTAGGTAGCAACACTGATTGACAATCAATTTCACATGCTGTTGTGCAAATGGAATAGACAACAGGTGGAAAGCAGAGGCAGTTAGCAAGACATCCCCAATAAAGGAGTGGTTCTGCAGGTGGTGACCACAGACCACTTCTCAGTTCCTATGCTTTCTGGCTGATGGTTTGGTCACTTTTGAATGCTGGCAGTGCTTTAACTCTAGTGGTAGCATGAGACGGAGTCTATAACCCACACAAGTGGCTCAGGTAGTGCAGCTCATCCAGGATGGCACATCAGTGCGAGCTGTGGCAAGGTTTGCTGTGTCTGTCAATGTAGTGTCCAGAGCATGGAGGCACTACCAGGAGACAGGCCAATACATCAGGAGATGTGGAGGAGGCCATAGGAGAGCAACAACCCAGCATCAGGACCATTACCTCTGTCTTTGTGCAAGGAGGGACAGGAGGAGCACTGCCAGAGCCCTGCAAAATGACCTCTAGCGGGCCACAAATGTGCATGTGGCTGCTCAAACAGTCAGAAACAGACTCCACGAGGGTGGTATGAGGGCCTGACGTCCACAGGTGGGAGTTGTGCTTACAGCCCAACACCGTGCAGGACGTTTGGCATTTGCCAGAGAACACCAAGATTGGCAAATTCGCCACTGGTGCCCTGTGCTCTTCACAGATGAAAGCAGGTTCACACTGAGCACATGTGACAGACGTGACAGGGTCTGGAGACGCCGTGGAGAACGTTCTGCTGCCTGCAACATCCCCCAGCATGACCGGTTTGGCAGTGGGTCAGTAATGGTGTGGGGTGACATTTCTTTAGGGGGCCGCACAGTCCTCCATGTGCTCGCCAGAGGTAGCCTGACTGCCATTAGGTATCAAGATGAGATCCTCAGACCCCTTGTGAGACCATATGCTGGTGCAGTTAGCCCTGGGTTCCTCCTAATGCAAGACAATGCTAGACCTCATATGGCTGGAATGTGTCAGCAGTTCCTGCAAGACGAAGGCATTGATGCTATGGACTGGCCCGCCTGTTCCCCAGACCTGAATCCAATTGAGCACATCTGGGACATCATGTCTCGCTCCATCCACCATGCACCACAGACTGTCCAGGAGTTGGGGGATGCTTTAGTCCAAGTGTGGGAGGAGATCCTTCAAGAGACCATCCGCCACCTCATCAGGAGCATGTCCAGGTGTTGTAGGGAGGTCATACAGGCAAGTGGAGGCCACACACACTACTGAGCCTCATTTTGATTTGTTGTAAGGACATTACATCAAAGTTGGATCAACCTGTAGTGTTTTTTTCCACTTTAATTTTGAGCGTAACTCCAAATCCAGACCTCCATGGGTTGCTAAATTTGATTTCCATTGATAATTTTTGTGTGATTTTGTCAGCACAGTCAACTATATAATGAACGAAGTATTTAATAAAAATATTTCATTCATTCAGATCTAGGATGTCTTATTTTTGTGTTCCCTTTATTTTTTTGAGCAGTGTGTTTTCCTGATGAAACTGAATCCTAAATTTCCTAATTTGGCAGTTTCCCAGAACTGTGGGTAGGGGTGGCTTGCCAGTGTTAGTGGGGGTGTATGCTGAATATAAGGTACTGACACGAACTACTATATACAAATAGGGACCAAAGGCCACATTCACTAGCACTGATATTACCTACAACTGCAATCAAGCAACCGAGCTCAGAAAACACCAAGAACACCACAGTTCATCCCTCAGCTACCTATGTTTTCTTCTGACAGCAGTGGAAGCCACAAGTCTTGAGCCACTGACAGCAGAGCATCAGGCTTATCCAGGGGTGGGTTTCTACTGGTTCTGTCCACTTCTTTAGAACCGGTAGCTCTGAAGAGTAGCAGACATAGAACCGGTTCTATGTCTGCTGATGTTTTTGCCCACCTGCCCACCTGGGCTCTTACCTGACTTTTATTTCCTGATTTTTTAAACTTCAGCTGCAGTTAAAAAAACAGGAAAAAAGGGCTTTTGGAAAGGCTGCTTCTCTGCACGCAGTATGCTGATGACGATTTACAGGCGGCAGCATGCAGGGAAGCACATCATAAATCACCAAACCTCGTAAATGACCGAACTGGTAGTTAACCCTGTCAGATCCCACCCCTGGGCTTATTCTAACCATTTTTTGGGTCGCTGTTGAAGAGAAGGTTAGATATATTTAATCCATTGATAGTAAAAGCAGGTTAGAGCATACATTTCTGGATTTCCCATTTAGCAATAGGAATGGTTAGGAATATGGCTGTGAATTAGTAAGTTATGTCTTAGGCAAACCATTTTTCTATTTTAATTCCTGGGCAAAATGGACATGATACAGAACTGTTATAACAACTAAAATATAGTAAATCTGTTTGAAAATATGAATATGATACTCTAGCATTGTTAAATAATTATTTTGCTATCAAATACATCAATTTCTGTTAGAAGAGAAATTGCTCTTAGAGATTATCTTCTTTTTTTGGAGGAAAAAAAGCAACACTTTTTAATTGGTTTGAAGCACAGCTTGCTTTTTATTTATTTTGCTTTTGAAAACATGAGTCAAAGACTATGGTAGACACACTACAGACGTTTTAATGTGACTTGTCAGGTAAGTCGTATGAAGGCAATATATTAATCTAACCACTGTGTAATGAAAAGGGCAACAATATTGCCTTTCTAATTTCCATTTCCTCAGCTTCCTCTCCTATATAATTTGAAACAAGACTACATAGTTGATCTAGTAATTGATGATATAATAAGCCAAGCAATTATCAAAACAGTTACACATTTTACTGTTATAAAACTATTTAAGAAATATATTTTCTGGCAGGGGCCTGATATTAACTTAAAGTCTTCTATTTGTACAGTTTTTAAAGAACTCTATCACTATAAAATAAGAATAGTGAACATTACAAATTACCATTAACCAATGCATTAACTGAGAGAGAAATACTACCAGGCTCAGCAAACAGCAGAAACACCGCAGAACCCCTCTTCTTTCAAATAATGCTTGCTGGGGATAGTTAGAACTTTTTAGAAAAAGTATTATTGGCAGTTTGATCAGACTCCACCCCCCCCCCCAAAAAAACCAGCATTAACTGTTAGTTCTATATGCTGTATAATTCTCACAGAGACAGTTCATTTAGTCTGTTGCTGTTGCTGTCTCCTGAAGATACTTCAAAATAATAATAATAATAATAATAATAATAATAATAATAATAATAATAATAATAATAATAATAATAATAATAAT